TTCCTTTGGTCTTTCATGTTTCCTCTGTGGCTAACTTGTAAGAAGTAGGTGGAACAGAGGGAGAGATCAGGAAGTGTTTAATAACCTCCTGGTTATTTAATCTGTAAATACCAAGCTTTGAGGGGACTTTGATGTGAAAGTACATCAAAAGATAGGGTTGGAATTCAAAATTATCTCAATAAGCAGGAGATGTTGGCTGAAAAAACTCAAAAAATTCAGTAAGATAAGTGCAAGTTAGTTCAGGTATAAAAACATATTAAACTAGGGACCTACTGGGTTGGGAAAAACTCAGTGAGAGTCATGCAGGAAAAGATGTAGGGGTTGTGATGCACCCATTGTAGGCTGAACACAAGTGTTATGTGAAGATAGTACTGAGGTGTATGAACAGGATTATAAAGCATCCAAAATAACTTTTGTTCAAAGCCAAGATGTAGTCCAACGTCTGTATATATCCTGTGTTTCAGGAAAGATGGAAACTGTCTGGGGAGAATCCCCCTACAGAGAAAGAGAGATTAACTGGGAAATTTAGCTCAAAGGGGACTTGTGCAGGTCATCTAGTCCAAATTTATGCTCCAAACAAGGTTAACTTCAAAACATTGTTCAAGGTCTTTCCCAGATCACTTTTGAAAATTTCCAATTCTACTGTCTCTCTGGAAAATGAGAAGGACTTAAGAAATGGGATTTTATCTCTGAAGGACTTGAGTTCAGGGCATTCATTTGTGATTTGTAGGATTTAGATTAAATATTAGGGGAAGCTGGGTCTTCAGTGAAGGCAGAGCAACATCCCCATAGTCTTCAGAAATTTAGATTTCCTCATCCAATGGAAAAATACATGGGATGGAATCCTTCCATTCTGTCTCCACCTTAGGAGTAGGTAATTTGCTCTTGTAGCCAGTCCATGTCACTGAGAAGTTCTGAAGCAGCCTGGTCTTGTTCAAGAATTCTGTTCTAAAGATATATTTGCTAGAATCTCTAGGAAAAAAAGGTATATGAATACCTGTATTTTTACTTACTGTATAATCTAAACATATTTAAATTAAAAGATAATAATAAATCATAAGAATTGCTTACGAGGGCAAAAGGATTATTTTAGAATCCTTTTCTACCTCTACCCTGATCATCTCTCTTCACTGCAGGTTCAGCCTAGATGACCACAAGTCTTACAGGGTCTGGGCTGTACCACTGAAAGTTCTGTGTCTTCACTTTAGTCATGCATCCAGCCATGCGTATTTGGGTCCTTCCTGCAAGGACCTTGACCCTTTCCTGGACAGAGCTGACAGAGCTCACCTGCCCAGGATGAATGGTGGTCAAAATCCAGAAGACCACAAACATTTGATTGGGCTTTAACTATTTATATAACACAGGGTTTCCACTACAATCTGGAAAACAGTTGAACTAGTAGACTGAAGATACACTTTCTTTAATGGCTAGTAAATGCTAATGCCCTGCACGCACACATAAACACACCCACACCTCGTTTTGTTTTGAAGTGATGAACTCAGCATCATCTAGCAATTATCCAATTTCAAAATGAGTCATATTAACTACCAGAAGAGTGAAATCTGTCCATGCAGTAACTTTTAGCATTACAAATCTCTTTCAAGAATTTCCTATTAGATTATTTATTTCTGCCTTTTAGGTGACTGGTTTTGTTTGGCAACATAAAATTTAGCCAAGCAAGGAGAGGCAAGAGGCAGGTGATCCAGGCAGAACCAAATTCAAGTGAGGTCTGAAAACCTGTTGTTAATGAAAATTTCAGCTCAGTGCTGGAATCCAGTGAAACCTTCAAGCTTATTGTTATTCATTAAGCAGATTGAAGGAGTGAAATGAAATTCAGCAAACTGTCCGCCTCTGCAGAGTACAATATGTTCATTTTCAAGGGAAACTGGCGTATGGATGGGAAATGAAGCATAAGCCACTCGTACCTCGGGTTGGCATGAGCGAGCACTTGGGGGTCAAATGTTTTTCAAAAAGCCACGTCCCTCTCTCAATGCACTTGCACATCCCTCACTGGCCAGTCTGACCCCTTCAATATGCCCTGGTGCAGAAGTCCAGCTGTCCATCCTCACCTGCTGCATGTGCTGATGCCAAGGCACTGAATGTTCACAAGTAGAAGCCACATCAGCCCCACCCAAACTCTTCAATGATCCTTGTTTTTAAGACTAACCTCTGCTTCAGCCCTGCTCCTGTGGCAATTCTGGGACATAAATCAAAGCTGAGTTGCCTGACTGATTGAAACACAGAGCTAAGGATGAGAAGGGAAGCCCCTTCCTTCAGCCACTGTACATTACATTCTTCCTGCCATTCAAGTGATTGTTTTTGTTGTAATTACCCAGATAGATCAGTTCATTATTTGCTCTGTGACAATCTCCATGAGAGACTAGAGGAATTTTGTTGTGGAGAACCAGAGAAACAGACAGTGTTCCATGAAGTACTCTGTTATTAGACAGGACCAACAAGCAGGAAAAGAACAAAGAAATGTTTTCTCCTGTGTTAAGGGGGAGCTGGGACAGCTCACTGGGTTAGTCACAGCTCAGCATCCTCTGTCCCTACTTACTCCTCTAGTTTATCTCATGCTGTACTACCACAAAGATTCAAGCACAACTTCCTCCAAGGAAACACAGTGAGTGTAGCTGGACTTTGGCCTTTCTTGCCTGTCTGCAATGCTGCTTCTCTGCTGACCTGGACAGTAAGACCTGTCACTTAAGCTTAGAAATGGCCAGTGCAGATGGTGCCCACTCCCATTTGTGGCACCAGCTCCACCTGGGATACAGGGATGGGAGCAGGCACTTGTCAGGTTCATCAGATTGGGGTTGGATGTCTACCTCAAGAGCAATGACTCTGGTTCTTCACTAACTAGAGAAGGAACCTGAATATGAACATTCAGTAGTTTAAATTAATATGTTATGTGAGATTTAGAGACTGGCACGATTCTCAGCCAAGGTAACTAGAGGTTAACAGAATTAGGAGTATGTAGTTTAAAGCAGAAGTCTTTTTACATCATCCATTTTGTTGGTTTTTTTTTCAAGTAGAGATTGTAAGAAAGCCAATTCTTCAAGGTCCTAGAGGCTAACAGTTGTAGCATGCTGCTTCAGAGCTTGCTTGATTAGTATTTAATTCAGTCAGTCATTTCTCCTAATGAAATGTCTCACCTATAACATTTCTCTGAGCTTTGGGGTTTATTTTCCATAGAAAATTATCTTTAAAAAGAATAAGCCTGTGCAACTTAAGTTCCTTTCCTCCAGTGAGTGCACAACACTCTGCAGTTGTCAGCTGCACCTCTCACCATATTATAACCCTCTATTTTTGCCAGAAGTACAGTGGTAAACAGGGATTTCTCTCAAGGCCAAGTCTCTCTTGGTGTATGCAATGCCTGACAGGATGGGTCTCCAATCAATGATTAAGGTCAATGTGTCATATCCTCATGTGTGGTGCTCTCAAAACAAAGCAGCAGTTGAGCCAAGAAGGAGCTCTGGGTGCTCATTGCACCACACACTCCCTAACTTAATCATTAATTGATTGAGTTTTGAACAATGGAAAGTCCTTCAGTAATTAAGTTTGGTGTGGAAGTCCTCAGCCAAAATGTGTATTTGCTTGGGACATTTGGGAAATGAGGTGCTGAGAATAAATTGCCTGCTGACAGTCTTGTGGCCCCTGTGCACTTTGGAGTGGATTTGGGCCACCTGCAAGGGTACCTTGTGAATATTTAGGCACCGGTGAAGGAATTCAGGGAAATGACAAAGTGCTTTAAAAAGCCTCCAGCTAACCATGACCCGTATGTCTGGGCACAGGAGGGGTCAGGCCCAGGAGGGTGCAAGGTGTCAGGGCAGGCTGGGTTGGCAGAGCCCTGAAGGCATGCTCAGCTCCTGCAGACTGGTGCATCCACAGCCACAGGCAAGCAGCCCAAACACAATCTGGTGGCAAGAAAATTCCCAGCCAGCATCATTTGCTCAATTGAAGCTCCTTCCAAAATTGTTTAAAAAGATAAATTACCCATCTATTGAATGGGGAAATGGGAAGACAAAGTCCTGGGCCACCTGGAAGCCCCCAGCAGAGCACCCTCTCTGCTGTGTTTGCTCTGTACCTACTCCTGGGGCTTTGCTTCTCCAATGTAAGTGTGAAGTTCAATTGCCATAGCAACGGCATCTGGCAGGTGCAAAACACTATTCTCTCTGCTGGATGTAAGGGAAAACCTTTCTGCTCCAGGGAAGGGAACTGTCAGTTGTAATAAAAATTGTCCTGTCTTCTCTTACCTGGAAACGTAGCAAGGAAAAGTCTTTATTGATTTTTTTGTGAGAGGAGTGGGCCTCCAGGATTAATTATCTTCCACTGTTTTTCTTTGCTACACAATAGGTATCCATATAGGTAGAGGCAGTAAGTGTTTGGGCTATATATAACACCATCTGCAAAGCAGCCAATGGAATTCTTTCCACAGAGGCAATGCGAAGGAGGTGAAGTTGCATGGAAAATGATGCTGCTTTTCCCAGTGTCTCTATGATTGTCCTCACTGGCCAGACCACACGTCATCCTTTTCATGGCAGAGGTGGCCCAGAGAGCTTCCTCCCTCCCTTTTAAGTACTTGGTTCTGGTACTTGGGCCAGATGTGTAGGACAAGCCTCTCTTCTTGATACAGACACGATTTCACCCACACTGTGCCCCAGGAGCAGGTTGTTTCCCACAGAGATAGTGGTGGGATTTACCCAGGGCTAGGGACAGGAGGCAGGAGGTAGCACTGCATCTGCTGAGACATCCTCCATCCCCTTGTCTTTAAGCCCTGCACACCTTGGGAAAGGCATGTCCAACTGCACAGCCCAAAAGCAGGTGTATTCTCATTGCTTTACTTATCTGGAACATGGATGATGGGGTCACTCAGCACTGGGGGACTGTGCCCCAAAGAGGAAGAGAGGGAGGTGTTTGGCCACATGTGTCAACATAACCATCAGTTAGCATATTTTTTCATTTGTCATTTAATTGAAATATTTGAGGGCTGTCCCTCACTATTTTTAATTGGTCCCTACTTCACAAAAATGCTCTATCTTACTATTGAAATTAGGAAATTAGGAGCACATTTTTATGGTCAACAAAGCCAGCAGACCAGGGGAGGAAGTGGTATAGAGATGACAATCAGAGCTCTGTCCCACCAGGTTGCAGATGAGTATTCATGAAACAGGCTCTCTAGAAAAGTTTCTCCGTTCTTCCCATTTTATTTTTTCCTTTAGAAATGTAACTCAAAATTAATTTTGGTTTGAAGAATGAGGTCCATGAAAGAGTTGGTGTCACAGCTTTCCAGACACATCTTGTAACATTATCACTCAAGTAAGAAAATGTACATGTAAACCATGAGACAGGTGAGCAGTGTCGGTGTGTGCTCTGACAATTAGTGTCTCTGTGATGCTGCATGATAAGTACTAATTACTAAATATCTATTTCTATGTTCCACATTATGTCCTTCTGTTTTAGAGGGCGTCAAATCCAAGGTAATCATTCTGTTTATTTAGCAATGTTATAAGCACTATTAAATACATTACCAATCAAAAGTGACCAAACCCAAGACTATTCCGCTGATGGAGAGAACTTTCGTCTGCCAAGTGAGTCCATAAAAGAGCAAGGAAAGAGCAGCAAGGCCATCCCCTTCAAAGGTGCTGAAGGCTGCAGTTATTTGTATTCTGAAACACAAAAAGCACAAACTCAAAGTAACACATGTTAACAGCCCTCTCTGTTGCAACCTTCTAGCTAGAAACAATACATCTAAAAATACATCTGCTGATGAGGTCAGTAGGTTTATCCCTGGCAAGAGGCGGAAGGGCAGGAACTATGCAAAATCAGGAAAAAAAGGCTACAGCAGTGGGAAAAGATTAATCTCTTTGTTTGTATTTTCAGCTTTTCCGACCAGCTCCAATGTGAGATCCCTTTGATGCTGTTAAACTTTAAGTTCAAATTATCACTAAGAGTGCAGCATAATTATTAAATTTTTTTAAGTGTTAAAAACCAATACAAACAACTACTTAACAAAAACCAATTTGCAGTACAATGTTCCCCCATTCCACAGCCCTGAGTAAAGGCACATATTTAGCGTCTTTGTGGCTGATGGTGCCTAATTTACTCATCATTAGACAACAGTGTCCACTAGACTCTATGTGTGTAGCTGAAGATGGTCAAACTGTACTCATAGAATCCTCATTCTGTTAGGGGTTTTCTGAGAGTCTGGTCCATATGTGGCACATGAGATATTTCCCTGCTCCCACAGAACACTAGTGTGAAGAAGAAAATGTCATGGCTTTTAATCCTCTGAGCGCACTCTTCAAGCCAGAACCAAGAACCACAACCAAGGCGCCAGGAACTTCCAGAAATAGCAAGAGGTGGCAGAGCTTTAGGGCAGTCAAGGTTTATCCCAATGAGTGAATAAAAGACAAAAGTTAAAAACTGCAACTTTGAGGATAAGTAAAAGAGTTTCATTAAGAGCCTGACCCAGGACTGCTAGGGCCACTGCAGAATAATAAGCAGAGGTGGAAAAAAGCTTTGGTCAGCCCAGTACTTACAGACATTCACAGTCTAATGCCTTCCTGTGAAGAAGCACAAACCATTTTGAGCTTAAAAGCGTTAGCCAATTTTAAAAGACTCATGGGAAGAAGAAGGAAACAAAAGAAAGATAAAAAAAATTTAAATAAAACCCTTGGCTTTATTCTAGTGCCACACTGTCTGCTTGCTGCTAAGGCACAACCTGCAGGCTTGCAAATCACACTAAAGCATCTGTGCCCGAGACCCAGCCTTGCTCCTAAGTCAGCGTTTTCTCAGCCAATGTCCCAGAACAACAAGAGCTGACCTTACTGACACTGTGTGGTAGTCTGTTATTTTACAGTTTGTTCTTCTGTAGTAGGTTTTAAATATTCCTTGTTATAAGTTTGTAATGGTTCATTCCATGTACGCATTTGGCTTCCCTAATGGTTCAGCCCTGAGTTGTTTACCACAGGATTTTTCCGCCAAGTGTCTGTCAATCCACCTGTCAGTCTCCTTGTATCTCCTTTGTTCCCTTCTGGAATGGTCTCTGGCCTTCATCCCTTCCTCGAAGCAAGACTGGGGTGCATGGCTTGCCCCTTCCCCTTGGTGGCTTCTATTGGATAGCACTTACCCTGTACTCCTCCCCTAATGCCTTCCTATTGGTAAAAGGTTGTGCCCACCCCTTATTCCTGCCACTCCTTAAAAGCAGCCTTTTGCCCTCAGTTATTGTCACCTGTTTGTGGCTCTCTGGGGAATAGGAGTTCATTGGAGCTCAAGCAAGTGCCCCCTCTCTATTCCTTTGCCTTGTTTCTCTTTCTGTGCTGCTGCAGTGCTCCCCACGCCGCAGCCATGTGCTGCAGGGAGCTGCGAGCCCTGCCCGCACCGGCACCCAGGGAGCTCAGCAGAGATCCGCGGGCAGCTGCTCTGGTGACTGCCCCAGACACCGGCCTGGGGAGTGAGCTGGCTGGGGAACACCTTCCCTGTGACCACAGCACACAGACACAACACTGCTGCTCTAGAAGAAGCACAAGGGACCATTTGTGTCTCTAAAGCAATTCCACCAAGGCAAAAGCACCCCAGCAGCCAAGGCAAGCCCTGCTGAATTCTGGGGTCCCCAGATGGAATCCTCTGCAAGTCTGCATCTGCTCCATAGCAATGGATGCTGAAGATGCCCTTGACTTCAGCTACAGTAGGATCACGTTCACTCTCATGGGAAAACCAGAGGTTTCCTAACAGAGAAAATCAGAGCTCATAAAATAGAATAATTACAGAATTTGTAAAGGAATTTTTCAGGAGGATTTTTTTGGGGGGAAAATCCCTATATTTCTGTTATTGCTACTGGAATTCTTTGATGAGACATAGGTGGCTGTGATATTCCAACTCTTCCTCTGTAAGGACAGGGGTGGCAGGTTACAATGGAGGTACTTTATAGTCAGAGTGGTTATTCTGTTTTTTAAGTTCCCTGGATTCCCTTGGATATCTGAGAAAAACTGACAAGGTTAATAAAATCCAGGCAGTTAAGAGGTAGCTCTGACATTGCTATTTGTGGGGAGTCAAAGCAAGAGGTCACTCACACTGATTTCAGTCATGTTGCGCTTGGGATAAGAGGGACCCATGAGAATTTTGCTCCAGTCACAACTGCAAAAACATGAAAAGCTCAGGGTCTCTTAGCCTTGGTACCTTCCCCATGTGAACACACTCCTGTACTGCTTTCGATCTTGCACCTGTGCTTTGAGGCCCAGCAACATCTGGGCACTGCCTCAGGCTTATCTTTCCAGGCTTGTCCAGGGCTGTGTCATATCCTGGCAAAGGGCTCCAGCCCCACTGCCCAGGTCCCAGGCACATCCCTGTCAACCTCCTCCACACCTTAGGGCCATCTCTCTCTGTAACACAGCCCTTGTGGGACTGGCTCAGACATTATCCCTCCTGGTACCTTGTACATGCACACCATAGAGCCCATAACACACAACTCCTGCCAGAGCAAGGCTTTTGGTCTTTTTTTTTTTTTTTTTTTTTTTTTTTTTTTTGTGTGTGTCATTCTCTTTACACCACACTAGAAATGCACACATCCAACTCAAAGAAGAACTCATTATATGCTGTGCCAGCCTTGCTTTGCCTCACCACCCTGTTTTTTGAAACTGAGGGAAATTCATCTCAGGAGAGAAGTGTTTGTTTGCTCTCCAGGCATCAAGAGCAGGACTGACCTTTGTAGGATGGAGGCTCTCTGATTTTGCTGTCTGTGTCTTTGAAACGGGCCCATGAGACATTTATACTCTTTTTTCTTTCTACCATGAGGTAACTGTATGTCTCCTTTTGTCAAGTGATCAAGTTCCCTCACAGCACAAGCCAATTCTTAGGGAATAAAATCTCTTTTCCAAATAATCACATATGACATCAACAAAATAAAGCTTATTTAAAGCACACACTAGCAAATTGCTATTTACCCTTGGAATTGTTTTCACAGGCAGAAAGTAAATTTTATTTGAAGCAATCTTTATGGTAGATAAGGGGTACAAGGCTGTATTTGTTAGAGGGAAAAAAATCACACTGTGGAGCTATAAATGGTAAATGGAAGCCATGAACACAGAGGAAATCTTCTGCTTGATAAAACCAAAATTAAGTAAGCAGTTTTAAAATATTTTGGCATGTATCTTATTCTAATCTTAATAGTTAGATGTGTGTAATATACTGTATTCTCGTTTAAGCCTAAGTATTATCAGCTGTTTAAAATAAACTGCAAAGCTCACCTCCCACAGATAGACCACCATTTGTAGAGCAAAGACCAAATGTGTACCAGGTTTTTCAAATTCCTTGTCCTCTGCTTACCGTTAGATACAAAAACTCTCATCAAGGGTACAGCATTAATCATACACAAAAGTACTTGCAGAACAGAGACCCCATTTTCTCCAGCTTCACTGCCCAAGATAGGTAGTATTAGAACCAGGAAACAAATCACAAGTCAGGGCATCCTCTCTCAGCTGGATCTGCTCAGTAAAAAGCTCTGCTTAGAAATGGCTGTAGTCCTGCCTAATTAGGCAAATTGGACCAGCTATGACATCCAGTGAGTCTTTTCAGGGAAAATGGATCTGGGGGGGACTTGTGATTACACATTTCTGACATTGGCTGCTGCTGGAGAGAGAATACCAGGCTGCTCCAGCAAGTGCTAAATTCTTAATTTAGGCATTTTGGGGAGATTGTTGAAAAACATTCTAATTGGAAGGAACTTCTGCTTCTCCAGCATATAATTTTCCCCATTTTTTAGCACTGAGGCATTTGCATGAAAACAAGCTCTTTGTTTTTAAAATTCCTCTGCACTTGTTGTTTATTCCCCACTGGAATTCATAATCCTCTGTTTGCACAAAGCACTATAATTGGTTGCTGTGGAAGTGTTTCTATCAAAAGAAAACGCTTATTAATAATCAGGAATGAACAGTTGCATAATAGAGATTAGTAAAATAAGCACCATTGTAATAATGATGCTAATCTCCATGAAACCAATCTCTTCAAATGCTTTGCAATAAACATATCCCAATGATAAAAATCATCTTTAAACATGAAGAGCAGCAAGAATCCCATGAACAAGTACAGGTGAAGGTTGACCCTGTAAATAAGAGTGGTGCATTTTGCAGCTGGCTAGTACAAAATTCCACCATGAACTATATTGGGGTTGCATGGCCAGGTTTTGGTGGGAGGGTCTACAGGGGTGACTTCTGTCAGAAGCTGCTGAAAGCTTCCCCCATGTCCAGAAGAGCCAATGACAGCCAGCTCCAGGATGGACCCACCATTGGCCAAGGCTGAACCCATCAGGAAGGATAGTAATGCCTATTTGATAATGCATTTAAAAAGGAAAAAAAAAATATTGTGCAGATGTAATTGGGACCAGAAAGAGCGGAATGAGAACATGTGAGAGGAACAACTCTGCAGACATAAGGTCAGTGGAGAAGGAGGCGAGGACGTGCTCCAGGTGCCAGAGCCAGGATTCTTCTGCAGGCTGTGGTGCAGACCATGGTGAAGCAGCTGTGCCCCTGCAGTCAGTGCAGATCCATGGGGGAGACACACCCTGGAGCAGGAGGATGCCTGAAAGAAGGCTGTGAACCCATAGGAAACCCATGCTGGACCAGAGTCCTGGCAGGGACCTGTGAACCTATGAAGAGAGGAGCCCATGCTG